GGCTTCACAGCAGTAACATAGAAGAAATGTCTTTGTTTAGGGCAGTGCCCACTGAAGTACCAACAGATAATGGGGCATCATGCCAGAAAAAAATATAAATAGAATAAAAGAGAAAGAGGGAATGGGGAAGGGAAAGAAAGAAAGAGAGAATGGATAAATATAGGAAAATATTAACAATTTAGGAATCTGGGTAAAGGACGTGTAGTAGTTTTCTGCAACTTTTCTGTAGGTCTAAAACTATTCTTTTAATGACAATAAAACAGCCTTTAAAAAGTCAATAAAAATAAAACTATAAATGTATTTTTCAAGAAAGGCTAAGGCAAAGTTTTCAAGACAAACAAAAAAAGACAATGTGAACTTAGATTAAAAAATTCATTAAACAAGACTAATAAAGAGATCTTTTAATAATAAAGCTATAATTCTTCATGAAGATAAAACAGGTCAAACAAATTTCATTGTCTTGATGCTAGAAAGCACTGGAAACATTGGAGTGGATGAGGGGTGAGAAAGTTTACAGAGAGACTTCCAGTCAAGATGGCAGTACAGGTAAACATCACTCATCTCCTCACACAACCACATCAAAATTACACAAAAATATAGAAGCATTACTTAGAAATCAAGCTCAATGGAAGTCTGACAACCATGGAATTAAAGAAACCACATCCATCCAGACTGGTAAGAGGGGTGGAGACACGGAAGAGGTTGGCCCATATCCACATATGGAGAATAAAAATTCAGGAGGGATATCTTGGGAGTAGAGTCCCAGACCCACACCAGTCCCCCCAGCCCAGGGTTACAGTACCAGGCAGATAAGTCCCCATAACTTCTTGCTGCAAAAAACAGCAGGGATTGAGTTGGCAGAACAAACTTCTGGATTTCCAAGCAGTTCCTCTTAAAGAACTCACACATGGACTTACTCCAACGCACTACCTCTGAGCTCCAGCATAGGCATAGCAGCTTGAAAGGCACCAGTCGCACACAGGGAGGGACTGAAGTGTCTGGTATCAAGGTGAGAGCTGAGGGACAACTTTCTCCCAGAGAGAAAGGCAGGCAGAGGCCATTGACCCTCTTCTGAGCCCTCCCCCTACAGAGCCACAGAGCTGGCAGGCAGGTGGCATATCTGAGTCTCCATCAACCTGGATAACACTGCCCTTCCCTGGAGACCCCACCCGAGGGTCCTACCCAACTTACACGTCCACCCAAACTGTTATGTGTGACTTTTCCATATGAATGGCTGGTCTTGTCTCATACTTTACAACCTCCTAAATCCTATCAAACAAGCAACAACCAACCTTGGTAAGCCCCTAGCCCCTGTACCTTGTGCTAAGTGGCCCCAGACCCAGCACTAGCAGCAGCCAGCTTGGATTCACAGCTTGGCTTAGCCTGGGAATCTCCAAGCCCAGCACAAGTAGCAGTCATCTCAGATTGCTTTATAGCTTGTTCAGGGTGGCCCCAGGCAGAACACAGGTGGAGGCTGACCTTGGCCTGCACCATCCGGGAAACCCGAGGGCCAACACACCCAATGGACAGCTACAGACCATGTCAGAACACCACCATCCTGGCTCTGCACAGCTGATCCTCCACGGAGAGCAGAGGTTGGCGGTCAGTGGTCACAGCCAGTCCCTGCAGCTGACTGGTCTGGATAAATCCCTCCCATTGACCTGCCAACAACAATCAAGGTTCAACTACAAGAGTAGGGGGTACTCAGCCCACATAAAGGGTGCACCTCAAGAACACAGCTTGGGTGATAGGGGAGGTTGTGCCCTGAACCCTACGGGACACCTACTACATTAGGCCAAGCTACTAAGACAGGGAATCATAGCAGCTCTGCCCAATACATAGAAACAAACACAGGGAGGCTGCCAAAATGAGACAAGGAAACATGGCATAAATGGAAGAACTCCAGAAAAATTAAACATCAAAACCCCAGAAAAATTAAAGAGATGCTTTCCACCGCAGAACTCCATTCTTTGGTTTTTGAACCTCATGAATGTATTACTTGCTCAAAGAAGTAAATGAAAAATATTTTTTAAAGCAAACAAAAGGGTATAAAAGACTTATATAACATAACCAATAAAGTTAATGTGTCACCAAAACTAGTAGTTTGCTCCTTTCTTTCTTGCATAACAATCCCCTGAATACTAACTAGAAACAAGGTTTTATAGAATAACGGCTACATTTCCCAGCTTCACCAGAAGCTAGGTATAGGCACAGGACTAAGTTACAGCCAACGAGTGTGTGCATCTTCTAAGCTATGCCCTTGTAGGAGAGTGACATGCCCCGAGCTTCTCTTTCTCCCCTCCTTCCTCTGAGCCTCAGCTATGGCAATAATCAATCTGACCACTTATAAATAAGGTCAATGTCCTAAAGAAAGTGGAGCACCAAGGTATAAGGATTCTGGGTCTCTGACACTCTGAAAAAGACTTATTTAAGTTATTGTTAATTCAGGTTTCTGTTTGTAACAGCCATACAATATCCTCATAAAATACCTAAATTCATACAAATATCCATGTATTAAGCAATTAATAAAACCTTAATAAAGTTTACAAAGAAGAAATAACATAGACATTACCTGATTGAAATAAACCTAAAAAACCTATTAATAAAGCCAAAATAATAAATAATTCTACCATCTAAATGCCTAAAAAAATTTCTCTTAAAACAACTTTTGAGATAAAGGAAAAAAGCCACACTTGCAGGACATTTTAAATTAACAGTGATGATAACCTATACATAATAAACAATGAAATAGAGCTGAAGCAGTGATCAGAGGAAAAAATTATAGTCTTAAATACTTATATTAATACATATACTAATATATATGTAAATGAAAACAAGTATTCAACGCAAGAAATTAGAGAAAACTACATAACACAGAGTTTTAAAAGGTAAAAGGAATAAATTAGTAAGTCATAAACCAGAAAAATAAATAAATCCAACATCTACTTCTTTTAAAAAAAGAAAGATAATCATTATCTAGTTTAATCAAGAAACAAGAAGAAAAACTCAAGTAAACGAGATAGGAAATTATTTTAAAGACAGAGAAGAAACTAAAAGAATAAGAAACTATTGTAATCATCTATGTGTAAATAAATTTTAAAAGCTGGATGAAGCAAACAATTTTATAGGAAAATACAATATATCAAAACTTACGCCCAAAGACATAGAAAAACCAAGTAGGCCATTTACCATATAAAAAACAGGAAAGAGTTATGGCTTAAGCTTTCCTCAAACCACAAGGATTAGATGGCTTCACAGTTGAGTTTACCAAATCAAGTACAGGCCATTTCACTGTTATTTTTAACATCTCAGAACATGTAAAAGGAATGAAAGGTCGCTACCTAAAATTGAGAAGGAAAAAAGTTACAGAGCAATCTCATTTTCTTTCTTTTTTTATTTATTGAATTTCGAGGGGGTGGGAGGGAGGCAGAGAGAGAGAGAGAGAGAGAGAGAGAGAGAGAACCACAATGATCTGTTGTTCCACTTATTTATGTATTGATTGATTGTCCCTTGCATGTGCCCTGACCAGGAACTGAACCTGCAACCTTGGCATTCAGGACAAAGCTCTAACTAACTGAGCTACCCCCGCCAGGGAAGTCTCATTTTCTTTTTCCTTCTTTTTTTAAAATATATTTTATTTATTTTTTCTTAGAGATAAAGGAAGGTAGGGAAAAAGAGAGGCAGAGAAACATCAAAACATGAATCAGCCACCTCTCCCAGGTGCCCCAGTCAGGGATGGCCCACAACACAGGCATGTGCCCTAACTGTTAATGGAACTGGGACCTTTTGCTTTGCTGGATGATGCCCAACCCACTGAGCCGCATGATCAGGGCAAGGCAATCTCATTTTCAAATGCAGAAATTCTAACTAAAACATTAGCAATACAAATGCAGCAGCACCATAAAGGAATGATAATTTGTGATCATGCTGGGTTTATTCTGGAAATATGAGGGTGGTTCAATACTATAAAAGATTAACATAATTCATTTCATTAATAGATATAGGGAGAAAAATATGGATATTATCATAAAAACTGAAAAGACGTTTGGTAAAAATTCAATATCCACAGGACCATGGGTACTTCTTTAATGCATGAGTGTCTGCTTCCCTTACTCTTTACAATATAGTGAATTAACATACTGGGTCTTTTATGGGATGATTCTTGAAAATTCATTATTTGTTAAAATTCTTTACATCTGACAAATGTATTGAGGATAGTTTTTACCAGAATCTTTCCATTTTTATGTATTCAAATGTATCAAAGCTATGCCATAAACCCTAAATTAGAGGTTTTCTCTATTCTAAAACTATATAAAAAAATCATCTCTTGTTTTTTTTATGTATTTAATATTTGATTTTCAAATCTTTAATTCATCTGGAAATTATTTTGAAGGAAGTACTAAGGAAAGGGACTTTGTTTTTCCTACATAGTTGGCCTGTTGATCAATGTGAGTTATTAAACTTTTGCACAAATGACTTAACTATTGCACAAATGCCAACTATTTTCAATAATAAGTTTCATGACAGACTTGGGTTTATTTCTGGACTTTCCCTGCTGTTCTACTGACTAACCTATTAAAAAAACAGTATCAAAACTGTTTCTATATCTGCACCTCTATAATATATTTTAGTATTTAATAGATGGTCCAACTAATTTTTATTACATATTAAAATGACAAAAGTTTTTATGGAATAGACTTCTGATATTATAATAGAATTCAAAGGGAAACTATTTTATCCACTTTTACCTTTTTGTGAATGTCTTTTCATAGCAATAAAAAAGTGACATTCACTGGGCTCCTACTATATGCGAAAACAGAAATAGACAATGTTAAGGTTCACTAAGAAGCTTTCTTGAGTGAGGGAGTCTGTGTGCTTACAGAATCAGTGTTCATTCCCTCTCTCACACACACACTATCTTGACACAACCAGTTTTCATCCTCTGTCTCTGTCTCTCATACACACTCACATACACTGTACTGTTACTTACACATACATACCTGTTTGATTTCTTTAACAGCCAAAGTAACTGAGAACAAGACTGCCTGACTAATGCTGCTCTGACAGGAAATGTCACAGGCTGATTTAGTTCATTACAAATGCATTCCATCTCTTTCACCATTGTCCAACTGTAACCTGAAATGAAAAGGAAGAAATTTAACTTTTCTAATTGGAATACTGAAGTCAATTAAATAAAAACTAAATTATGTATGTAAATTCATAGGTAATTCATACAAATTTCCATTTGAATTCAAAGTGAATAAAAATACAGCTTAATGAAGGAAAATATTTTGGGTGGAAAATGTAGATAAAAATTAAATCTAAAACCATACCACAAGTGATCTACAGCAAATTTAATTAAAAATTTAAATATTAAAAAATAATTTACTAATATCTCAAATGCAAAGAAAGCAAATTTTGATACAGTAGCTACTTTAAAGATTCTAAGACTCTGAGGTACTTCCTCATTATTAATATTCTCTATAAACTAAGATTTTCCATTTGTGTTGTTTTCCAAGAGAAAGATGCCTACTATGTGTTCATTAGCTGTTTAAGTAATAATTAACTCCAATTTTAAAACATTTATTTATTTATTTATTACTTTTTTATTGAATTTATTGGAGTAACGTTTAACCTTAATTTTTAAATTTTTGGATAGTCCAGATTTCAAATAGATTTTACCTGAAATAGAAATAGTGGTGAAACTGACTTTTACATATGTGTTTTAAATCCTATTAGGACATTATGGAAAACACATTTAACTGTTTATAAATAGCTGCAGAAAAAAATTACATCTTAAAATAACTCTAAACTCTATCAAAAGCAGATTGCAAAAAAGTATTGGTCAGTAAGAGAATATTTTACAGAAAGCCTATCTGAATATATTAGTTTAGCAGCTAAATTTCTCATGAAAGAAGGGAAAAGACTGATTTCCTTTAAAATTTGAAAAATTATATACTGTAATTAGAAAAAATTGCTAACAGAAGATATATACTTATATTACTACAAACTTATAAACTCTTTTTTCTAAAATTTGTGGCATAAGAAATAGGGGAGGATAAAACACATGATGGCAACGGCAAGAGGCCAGTGGAAAAAACCAGTCTCAAAACATGCAACTCCAAAATGACTTAAAGACCTGGTTTAACTCAGTTCAAGCCTGAGGTTAAAGCCTGAGTTAAATAGTGAATAAAAGGAGTTCAGAATCAGCAAGGAAGTTACTAAACACTCTCTAGTTTACCTTCTTTAAACACTTTTTAAATTATAATGTTATATTTTTAAATGAAACTAATAAAAATTTAAATGATTAGAAAAATTAAACTAGAGTCAAGTTAAAACATTGTTTTTTTCTCTCAATCATATCAATTGCTGGTCCAGCTGGTAATAACCTAAATGTTGCTACTCACTAGATAGCAGTTATTATAATGTCATGTTAGACTTAAAAACTTTATATTTAAAAACAATAATAGCAAGTAAGTAAAAAAAAAGTACCCTGAACACAGGATAAAGGCTGACATCTTCACAGGTTCTAAACACCTTTTTAGGTTATCATTTTTACCACATCGACAGATGTCCCAGAGCACTGGATTGCTTACTGGCTGTTACCTGGAAATTACTATCTAGGAATATATGAAGAAATAGAAAGATGAATAAGAGTGATAAATTTCAGCCACGAAAGGACGAAAGGGAAGCTGAAAATATCAGGTCCATCTGTAGGAGTAGGTGAAGAAAAGAAGGAATCGAGCCTAGAGAGACTCATGGCCGCCCACTCTCCTGTCCGGCCAGAGAGCATGAAGGCAGCAAGGTCCCAGCACCTTAGCCGAACCTCTTCCATTGTGCAGGGAGCATGTGCTCTTCAGTCATACCCCCACTACTTATAGCCTCACACCACATGAGAAGCTCTTATTACCATTTCTTTACCTTTCATCTGACACAGGGAGTTTGCTCCACAGTCAGAGGAAAAAAAAAAAAAGACTATACAAAGTTTTACAAGTTCAAAGACACCAACTCAGGATTTGTTTAAAGTATTCAAAGAGGCAGGTTTCATTTTTCTAGACCCTGCAAATAAATATTTCTCATGGAAGCTTGGCAATAGAATGTCACCAATGAACGCAGTGTCTATCTGAAATAATAGAAAGAAGAATCATACACGTATCTTGAGAGCCAGACCTTTATCTCCATTAGACTCTTAGATTTTGTAGAATGTGTTTTTGATTTTGTATTAAAGGTATTTATTTTTATATTAGCAGTATATTTTAATTTGACCAACAAGAAATGCATTTTGTAATTATTACCTTCATTGACTTTCTCAGGATACCATCCTGTTGTCCAACCCAGGGAAAATGTCACATCTGGAAAGAAGGATGTCACAGTGTCTATAAAAGGTTTTGCGTCCACTACTTTGCTATTCCCATTTGGACCGGGAAGAATATCAGCATTAATCCACACGGGACGCTTCAGATGCCTCTTCACATTTTCCAAAAGCATCATCGATGGTTCTACAGCTGCCAGACTGAAAATACAGTTTGTTGTCAATGAGAGAAATTTATAAAGAGTAAATAGGAAGTTCTTTTAAACTAGTGGTTCTAATGTTCTCAAATTCATAATAAAAATATAATACAACAGTCCTGGCCAAATGGCTCAGTTGGTTGGAACATCATCTCATGCACCAAAGGGTTGTGGGTCCGATCTCCAATCAGGGTACATACGGAAGCAACCAGTTTTCCTTCCTTCCTTCCTTCTCTCTCTTTCCCCCTTCCCATCTCTAAAAATAAATAAATATATCATCAGAGTTGTTTTTTTTTTTAAGTATAATGCCTAATAATAATGCCTGAATTAAATAAAATCAAAGATCACAAAGTACCATAGAGGAAAGTTAACATCTGCCATGTGACAAAATGTTAACTTTTACTTATTATTCATGAAGATACCTTAAAGGTTTTATAAATGTACAAGTAATGCCACTTGTGGACAGATGGAGGTTTCAAAATTGCATATTAGGATCATGCAATATAAAAACAATTTAAAAAGAGATACATTCATCAGAGAATATATAAATAAGATTTTAAAATCTGATAATCTCATAACCTACAAATTCGCATTTATGAAAATATTCAAAGTGCATGTTTCTAGCAATGGCTCATGACCTTGGAGAAAAGAACCTTTTCTCCATCGTGTATTCTTGTGTGAATCTGGATAAACATATTCCTAAAAATGATTACAAAGCATAAAATGATAAAATTTCCTTAAGGCTTTTATAAACTTCATTTTTTCCCTTTTTTGTAAACACATTTTCTGGAAAGTAGAGGCAACTGTATTTTAGTTACTTCTAAGTAAAAAGGCGGCTTCACTCTTTATTTCCCAACATCGATTCTGACAACTAGAGACTTTGAAACAATAAGGTTTAGTTTTTTGTTTAATTTTTTTTTATCCTTGCCAAAGAACATTTTGTCATTGCCTTTAGATAGGAAGGGAAGGAGAGAGTAAGGGAGAGAGAAAAACTTCAGTGGGTTGCCTCCTTCCCAGATTTGGGATCCTGTGTGCCGGACTGGGGATTGAACCCTCAACCTAGGTATGTGTCCTGAATAAGAATCAAACTCATAATCTTTGGGTTACAGGATGAGGCTCCAACCAACTGAGCCATAATGGTCAGGGCAACAATAAGATTTTAGTCAGCCTACATAAATTTTCCTTTTCAAAAATGTACATACAAGCTTTACTGGAAAACTACACTATTTATTATTCTGAACTACCTCTGAACATAGGCCATTTAAGGCCTATGTTGATTTCTAGGAAAATTAGCTTTTGGTGAAAACTGCAATGGGGAATGAAGAATTTTGGAGATGGATGTTAGAGGGAAACCATTCAGCACTCCCTTCTCACATTTCTATCTTTTTTCCTAAGGAACTAGAATCCTTCTGCCTATGCTTCTGCTGCTTTTCATTGCACTGCTTTTGGGCACTCTACTTTAAGAAGAGAAACTGATAATCCCATTACTTCTTGGGTCTTGTTTATCAGTGAGCAAGGATACTGTATGTGCCATAAAACCAGAAGGAACCAGCCTCTAACTTTTCACTCTGTTCCCATGTGGTAAGCTCTTTTTTCTCCTTCTTCTGACCCTGGAATAGAGGCCCTAGATTTTATATATATTAATTTTTAAAATTTTTTCAATTACAGTTGACATTCAATATCAGTTGGTATTAGTTTCAGGTGTACAGCATAGTGGTCAGACAATCATTTACTTTACAAAGTGTTCCCCCCAATATTTCCAGTACCCAACTGGCACAATACATGTTGTTACAATATTATTGACTATATTTCCTATGCTGCCCTTTACATCTCCATGACTATTTTGTAACTACCAATCTGTACTTCTCCATCCCTTTACCTTTTGTATCCAGTCCTCCAACCCTTCTCTCCTCTGGCAACCATCAGTCTGTTCTCTGTATCTATGAGTCTGTTTCTGTTTTCTTGTTCATTTATGTTGTTCTTTAGATTCCACATTAAGTGAAATCATATGGTATTTGTCTTTGTCTATCTGACTTATGTCATTTAGCAAAATACCCTCTAGGTCCCTCCATGCTGTCACAAATGGTAAGACTTCATTTCTTTTTATTGGATGCCCTAGATTTTAGTGCATTAATAAACTCTGATGCTGGATCTTGCAGACTCCTATTTAAACGCTGTCATTTCTGTCTCAAATGCTCTCTGCCTTGAAGGGTATCAAAACCATGTTAAAAACCACAATTCTGAGAATCTGACATTGTACTTCCTACAAATTTTCCCATTTTTGGTAGCAAGCGACTTGTACCTGTGGCTCCAAAGCCTGCCTGTCTCCAAGTCCTATGGGGTTGTGCTTTTCCTGGGTGGAGCAGGGGGAAACCCTGAAACTCCCTTCCAGAAAGGACTCTGATTTCTTCAGAAATCTGGTGTCTGTAGAAGTTGGGGGAACTTTTTAGGTTTTCTCAATTTAGTAAGCTGACATAGGGCAATTTAACATTGGTTTTTCCATTTGACAATATCAAGTGTCAGCTAGCATCTTCTCCCCAAAATTGAAATTCCACCAGCATACGTGTCTACTATAAAGCACTGCACAGTAAGAAGCTATGACGCAGAACATGATGAAGCAAGAATTTAATACTTATTCTGTTTTATATGTGAATACTTTAATTACCATTAATATATACTACAAATACAAAAAGTAATGATACTTTCCTATACCAGAAACTTAAATAAGGAAAACAAAACTTGCATTAAGGAAAACATAAAACCTTACTGAGGAAAATTAAACTTTTGTTGTTATAGTTCTTAGTTTTCTAGAACTTGACAAAATAATTCTAAAAGAGTAAATGTGGAGGAAAATCCTGGAAGAATCAGTATTGTAAATATTGCAAAATGACCCATCCCTCCCAAATAAACTATAAATTCCATGTAATTCTAATTAAAAATACTAGTGGCCAACATTCTCACTTCTTACATGTATAAGTATTAAGTTTCTCATAAAGAACTGCTAAAAGGTTTGCCATGTTGACCATTTGAAGAGGGAAGTCTTGATCACAATACTATCTAAAATTTCTCTTTGCTTAGTACTTTTCTAAATCCTAGAAAAATATACAAACTTAGTTTTTATAGAATAGGTTCTTTTTCCTAAAAAGTTATTTGTATGTCAAACTTCTGAGTACCACATCCTATTTTCCTATTAATTTCATTTAGAAATTGAGGATAACTTAATAAAAATCATACTTAAAATTGCAATAACCCACTTAAAATTACATTTAAAATAAATAATTATCATTAGTGATAGTTTTGTTGTGGTTTTTTAATGTATTAATTTGAGAGAGAGAGAAACAACGATTTGTTGTTCCACTTACATATGCATTCATTGGTTGTTCCATATGCCCTGACCAGATATTGAACCCACAACCTTGGCATATCCAGACAATGCCCTAACCAACTGAGCTACCTGGCCAGGGCTCTGTTTCAATGTAGCTAAAAGTACAAAGTTAGTTAGTCAGGTACAGATATAACAGGATATTAACTTTCTCCCTCTCTGCCCCCTACACAGAGTTATTCTGTAACAACCAGAAGACTGAACATATTTGTACAAATACCTCTTGAAATCTAGTTTGATGCCTTTATTGCTTTTCATAACTTCAGTCAGCCATTCCTGTAGAGTATTATCACTGCTTGATTCAGGAGGATGGGCCATGATTGGTTGGCCATGGTCTGATCCATTACTCGGAAGAAGGACATCAGCCTCTATCATGTGAGCAGAACCTGTCCCAATAAAAGAACTTAGGTTAATGCTAACAAAATAGGGACTCCAGAAGATGCCATGTCCAGTATCCTTTTGAGTAAAATAAAAGAATAATAGAAAACTGCCATTTACTAAATAAGTGCCAGGTACTGTGCTAGGTCTTTACACATTGCTCTTGTCTTTTACATATAAGCAGGCAGTTGGGGAGGAGTTAAATATCATTCCCACACAGTGTTTAAGCTGTTGTCATACTATTTAATTTCCTCCCAGGATACAGCAAAGCAAATATACAAAAGAAAGCTTAATAACTATTTGTTTAAGTCTCTGAGAATAAAAATATTACTTTTACCTTCTTACTCCTCAAATTAGAAACTACAAATATTTATTGCTTATGTTACAGATTCCTTTCTTTGACTTAAAGCTCAGCTACTGTTTAAAAGCTGTGGACAAAAAAGGGACCACATACTAAACCTGACAAGGTCAGGGGAGGCCCATGCGGCAGGTATTCCAAACTCAGAGACCAAAGGTAACCACATAGGATGGTCTGAACGTAAAAATTCCTAATAAATGTGAGTCATTGCAAGCAATCACATGCTAGGCCTTCAGCTTCCTTAACAGAGGTCAATCTTTACCTTAACTGAGCCTGTCTACATCGTTTTGCATCTAAGAAAACGCACCCTAGAATGTCAGAGCCCATCCCTTTTTCTGGACCCCTCAGAGCACGAGACCACAGAACCCCTCATTGTTATCTTGTTCCTCAAATACCATTTCTATGTGCTATAACTGTTAATTATTAACTATCCCCTACCAACAAATGTAAAAAAAGTATATGTATCTCTGTTTAACTCTTTATCCAATCTCAGAGATTTCTCCTCTTCTCTTTCTTCTGCCTCCCTAATCAATGAATTTCATGTAACCCCCCACCATTATATCTCCTTTGGTTTTAATGTATAAAATAAACTGTAAAACTGCTATTCTCTGGAGCAGTTTCTCAATCTGTTGAGATTTGCTTCCCAGCAATTGTTGTCAGTTTGGTTCAAAGAAACTCACAAAAACTCTCTACAGGCTTGGACGTTTCTGACATCAGCAAAGCACACTTCCCTGGAAAAGGTAATAAGCTTCACCAGAGACTTAGCATGAATGTGTTTTGCAGGGGGTGGTAGATGACTCCAAAGATGGTTGGCAACACTTCCCCCTATACACATATACCTCTCTTCTCTTCTTTCTCCTCCCCTTAAGTGTGCGCTGACCTTGTGACTTGCTTAACCCAAAAGAAAATAAGGGAAGAAAAACCATCAGTTCTAGGCCTAGCCCTTAAAATGACTGGCAGCTCCTGCTTTCATCCTCTTGTAAGCCAGCCGCCATGCAAAAAAGTTCAGGCGAGACCACTGAGGACAGCAACCGGAGAGGCCCCAGCCTCCACCACACAGAACAGAAGAACAATCAGCTGACTCCAGAAGTCATGAGAAATTATAAATCGCTGTTATTTTAACGCAGTAAGTTTGGGATTAGTTTATTATACAACAATAGTTAAAAAAAAAAAAGTTATCTGGAAGTGGAGTGTTGCCATAAAATCTGAAACCTGACACTGGCTTCAGGACCTCTTAGAATTTGAGAAGGGAAGGGAGTTGGAAGAGCAATGAGGAAATTCTGATTGGAAGCTTGAGAACAGACAACCTGTTTTATATAGTAATGAAACTTTTGGCAACATTGCCACTTACGCAACTGGTGAAAGACAGAAAGGGTACCTAATAAATTTGCAGATTTGGCTAATGAGTTTTCCCCGCAGAATGTTGAAAGTGCCACTGGCTTCTTTTAGCTGCCTATGATAGAGAACAGAAAGAGAGTGAGTTCAATAATTAACCACTCAGATTTTAAGTAGCATATAGAAATATTTTCAATTCAGGACTTGTGCTGAGTTAGAAAAGGAAATCTAGCCTCTTCGGCTGGCAAAAGATCCTCAAATTGGGAGGCAGCCTCAGGAAAAAGCCAAATCTGGGATGCTGCCTGTAAACTATTATCTCTGGGTCCAGGTCAAATCAAGGGTGCAACTACAAGAACATTTGTTAAGAGAAAGATGGTGCCTCATGTACTCATACAGCTAGACAAAAAAAATCCTAAAATCTGAAGGGTATTGTCCCACAGCACCCTAACTGGCAGACCAAAGTAGAGAGAGGTCTACCTCCAAGAGATTTGGAGTTAAGGTTTTTGATTAGAGAAACAGTTTATAATTTGATATACATTTTTCATGGAACCGTATCCACTTGGACCCAAAGAAACAGAGGTAGTTCAAAATGAGAAGTATTCTGTGTGCTCTCAAATTTCCACAAGCAGGAAACAAACTGAAAAGACTACTCAGCTGCAAATCTGAGCTATTTTGCAATAAACACATGAAAAAGTGGTCAACATCATTAGGCTTTAGGGAAATGCAAATATAAATAATCAGATAGTAATTCATACACACTAGGATGACTATAATGGAAAAGATAGACAATAAAAAGTTGCCAAGGAAGTGGAGAAATCAGAATCATCATTCATGCTGCTGGAGGGAATATGAAAAGGTACGACTGCTTTAAAAAAGTTTGTTTTTTCTCAAAAACAAACATAGTCTTACCATGTGACCTAGCAATTCCACTTCTAGGCACATAAACAAAGGAAGTAAAAACATGTATCCACATAAAACTCGTATACAATTGTTCATAGCAGCATTATTCATATTAGCCAAGAAATGGGGGAAAAAAAAAAAACCTCTAAATGGGTCAGTAAGACGTGATGTAACATACAATTAAATATTATTCAGCCACAAAAAGGAATGAAGTACTGATACATGTTACAATATAAATGAATCTTGAAAGCATGTTAAGTGAAATAAGGCAGCCACAAAAGGCCACATATGAAAGAGAAGTACAAGATGCTACCCTGAATTTTGATCCTAGGGTCAGGAGACGTCTCTGGGGAAGTGGCAATTCAGCTGATACACAAGGATGTGTAAGAGGTTAGCTGAGCAAAGTGTGAGGAAAGAGCATTCCCGGAAAGCACACACCAACAGCCTGAGGAGGAAAAGAGCTCAGCCGTGGGAGGAGCTGCACGACCAGCAGCCTGGAATGTAAGAACCCTGTGACACTGGAGAAATAGGCCGGTTTACGCAGGGCTTCACAGGTTATCGTGGTGGTTTGAAGACTCCAATAAATAGAAACCCATTCTCCACATGGATTCTGAGAAACGAAACAGCCAAGTTGGCAGATGGGGTTCACAGTATTACCTTTATCACCAATAAAGCTAGGTCAGGAGATGCAGCTTAGTTGAGAACTAAATGAGCTTGCCAACTCTTAACTTCCACCATCACCTCCCAGTTTAAAATTTAGAAGAGCTTCTTTGAAGCAAAGTTCCAGTGAATACAAACAGGCAGACTGCTGCCTCCCATTGTCTGGGTGGAAGAGGAGAGGGGAGCATGCTCCTTTGCCCAGCAGCACCTTCGAGAGATCAGCTCTATCCAGCCAAAAACCACACACCAAAAATTATCTTTGTCTCTGTGAGAAGAATAATCAGTGAAGCAGACTCCAGGGAAGAGCTGTCCTCCTGGAAGCCAGAGTGGTAGAACTAAGTGAAGACCCGTTCCACAGTTAGAGTAAGAATTTTTCATGGAAAACCATTAGAGTTTTAAACAAAAAAAAGGCCTGATTTATGTTTAAAAACTCCACTTGGGATGCTAGGTGGAAAATGAACTGAACGAGAGCAAAAGTGGAAGCAGGAAAATGATTTACCAAATTAGGGCTGACTCATATATCTACTGGTTGTTTCCAGGGGCAAGTTCACAGAAGTTCAGACTGGAGCTAATAAAGTAACTTATCTCATGTCCCTGGAAGTCCAGAGGTAGGGTGGGCTCCAGGTGTAGTGTAATCAGCAGCTAGATGATGTTATCAGTGTCTTTATGTCTCAATTTTTTACTATCCTTGGTGTGTCTTCAGGCTGATTTCTATTATGATGGTAATGTAAGATGGCTAACAATGCCATGGCGGCTACATACTTTGATGTTCATATATTTCAGTTTTAAGGTAGAAATCTTCTTTTGAGCCAGGTTAGATCACTTGCCCACCATGGGAACAACACTGAAACAGCACACAAACCGCACTGGCCAGCTTAAAACAAGTACTACTTCCTTAAAGCAGATCAATGATTACTACAATCCTTGAATTATTTTTTAGAGCCAGCACTGCATAGGTGCTCCCAGAACCAAAGGACTGGGACATGAACAGAACTTGAACACTGGAACCCTTTCAAAAAGCAAAGGGTCTGTTGTCCAGGAAGATCTGATGCTAAGCCTCTTACCGTACGTAAATGCCCAAGTTCCAAAACTATCCAATCAAACTGCCCTGCCAAAGCTTCTGCATACCTCTTCCCCTTAACTCCTCAAACTCTCCGTTTTAAGGCATCAGGAAACTTGGGCTTTTGAGCAACAGCTTTCCACTTCAGCTTGAGGAATGCTAGCAATAAAACAACTCTCATTTCTCTACTGCAATTCTCAGTGTTCAGTGGTTCTGCTGGCACCGGGTGGACGAACTCTTTCTGTTCCAAACAATATGAATCATCAAGGGAACTCCAAGCGCTGATTAATTTATTCTGATCCACCTGGGGCCTAGGAATGGAGTCAGCTTCCATATGGTTGTATGGATTCCCCAAAGTATAAAACCTGGGGCTCTGGTTGCCTAACAGAAAGAAAAGGGGATATTATCTGAAGACTAAGTAACCTATGAAAACTTCCAAGATCAACACTAGACTGCCAGCAATTGGAGGTGACTTACCATTAGTAATTTTTAAAACAAAATTAAAAGGAAAGTATTCATATTTAACTAGATTATTTCTAGGTGTGAAACTTCTACATATCCTATTATGAAGTATAAATTTTTAAGATGTTTTCCCAAATTTTTAGTTGTTGCTACATAGAAATACAATTTATTTTCTATTTTGACTTTGTAATGACATTTCTAAATTTACCTATGAATTATAATAACTTTTCTGTAGAATCTTTTTAATATTCTATATAACAACCATATTGTCCATAAATAATAGTTTTTTTTTCCATTCTTTAAATTGACATATAACTCACATACTATAAAAATCACCCTTTTAAAGAGTACCATCCAGTGGTTTTTAGAATATTCAGAAGCTTCTGCAACCATCACCACCGTCTAATTCCAGAAAAATTTCATCATCCCAAAAAGAAACCCTGTACCGATTAGCATCCACTCCCTATGCCCTACTCCTGCCAGCTCCTGTCAACCATGAATCAACTGAAGCATCTTTTCCTGAGGCACTGATTTTGCTAAAATTCATTTATGAATAATCACTCTGCCATTATGTGCCAGGCACTGTTTGGGGTGTTTGGGATTCAAAATTAAACAAGATAAAGTTCCTCCCTTTGAGAAACAAAGAAAAATAATTTAAAACAGTATCTTTACAATACAAGAAATGTATATTCAGATACACTATCCAGATACATGATTAAGATGCAAAAAATGCATGCATTTTACAGTAAAACATGAGACTCTAAAGAATTTTACTTGTTGGGTGAGGTCACTTCAAGCTATTCTAAAGCCCCTAGTGATAGACTTTCACTCTCCTCTGCTGCTGCAGCCAACACGGGTACTTCACAGCAAAGCCCTCTAATGAAGAGAGATGTACATGGATGTAGATTATCGATTATGGAAATAGATATTGACAGATATGATTATAGATAGAATTAGCAAGCCAGAAGTCTTGGTTTCTAGCGTAGGCACAAATACTGCCCAAGGCAATTAGTTATAAATTAGTATACAATGGCTTCATCTATCCATTCAACAAATAGTTATTGAGCCTCTCCTTAGCACACTGTGAAAGACAAAAATATGTAAGACACATGATCCTGGTCTTAAAATTTTTCTCAAATCACTACAGTAGATAAGCAAGTGCAATAATACAGGACAGTTTCAAATATGACACATAAAAGGCAAATCACTTCTAGAAAATAAGAAGAGTCTTTCATTATGGAAATTTGTTCATTTTGTAAACAAAATGAGATCCTTTATAAAAATGTTTATGCCAGCTTATCACCCTGGTCAGGTGGCTCAGTTGGTTGGAGCACTGTCCCATACACCAAGAGGCTGTAGGTTCCATCCCTGGTCAGGGCATGTGCCTGGGTGGTGGGTTCCATTCCAGGGGGGCGAATGAGGGAGGCAATCGATTTATGTTTCTCACATGGATTTTTTTCTCTCTCTCTCTTCCTCTCTCTCTAAAAATAATAAAATCAATAAACATATCCTTAGGTGACGATTAAAGGAAAAACATTTTTATCAGCCTATAGTTTACACTTGGATCATCTAAGTCTCTGGTACCTGCAAATATGCTCAGATATCAAAAAAAAAAAGGAGTTGAACTCATCTATTATCCAATGTAAATATAAATAATCATACTGACTTACTTTTCAGTGCCTCATTCATTTGTGCCTTGTGGTTAGCTGCATGATACCAGGTGATCTGGGCACCATCTTCTGTAGTGATCTGGTTATTTCTCAGAAAATACTGTAGTATATTTTCACTCCAAGATCCTAAAATAACAGCATTTTCATGAAAAAAATAGTTTGTTTTACATGGAGTAAAAAAAATTTAATGAAAAAGGGCATAGCACATCTTGAGAGAGAGTAATAAAGTAATTAAACTGAGAAAAACATGAGATTTTAAAAAGAACAAGTATTGTGATGTGGCAGGTTAACACATATATAAACATAGAAACATGCTATATATGATGTAATAATTAGTAAACATATAGGATAGTCTGGACCTCCAAAGCACGAAAAAACTTGTAAGAAACAGATTTTTAAAAATGGTAAGAAACACATCCTTTAAAGCAAGAATTTTCACATTGTGTTATCTCCAAACCTGGCCCCATAAATACGTAAAATATATGTAAAGCCAAAGCTATATTAAAAACGTCTAAATTTTGTACAATTTAATTGTTTTTTCCACCTGAAGACCCACTCTATATCTTAAGTCACGCATTTAATTGCTCTCAGCCTTTTGGCTAGGATCAAGTGTAGCATCTGTTCTTATCAGTTTAAATTACACATTTAAGCATATTTACCTTCAGATTATGAGCCTCAGCACCATTTATATGAGTGACAAACTTTTGAGTTAATATTCACAGATTTATCTATCATGTACAAATATACATAATTCCCATATCTATCAACTACTTTTTGACACACCAGATTTTCTCTTAATTAAACATTAAAATGAGTTAACTGAGACTAAAACACTTGAACTCAGATCTACTCCAAATGATGCTGTATCCTACAATAACAATGAGAAAGAGGTAAGAAACAATGAAAGCAGTTATCTATACTCTTACCTCCCTACTTCTTGTTCATTTATTTAAACATTTAAGCACTTACCAAGTAGCTGCAAATTCCCTATGCATAAGATTTGTCTTATGTTAATTATTTGTTTATTAACTCTGCCTAATAACAGTTAAAAAACTAAAAATGACCACTGTAAACTGCTGATAAGTCATTGAGAAAAAGTAAAATTTGATTAGAGAATGGAGCAGCATATAACTTCACACTAACATGCATGGACTTAGCAACCACTCTGTTTACTTCGTAGCTGGGCTACAGAGTAAAGGAGAGAATTAGCTGTAGCATCCACTACCCCCACAAGCAGCTTACTACTCAACACACCTGGCCCTCTTTAGCATATGTAATAGAGTCTGAGACTTTTAGATGAAAATAAAAGGCCATGATTTCTTAAATATTTAAGTTATGCATTTTTAGAAAGCACATTAATTATAACAGACATGCCTAACAATGCAAAAATAATCAAATCTTAATATAATCTCAAGATAAAATATGTGACTAATAGAGATGTTAAGAATGAAGTTTTTGAAATCTAGCAGAAGATCCACAAAAAAGGTCCTCATGCATGTTACCAGAAAAGCTAAATATAAGTTAAAGATGCCTACAGATGTGTCCACATCGTCATTCAACTAAACACACTACAGTCACAATTTGTATAAGGGCAACTTATATATTAATAATAAAATACCATGACTCCAGAAATTTAAAAATTTTAAGTAAAAAGGTCTCCTTGCCCTGTTAATGGATGAAACTGCCACTTTATACTTAGCCACAGCTGTATATAACTGTAGAATATAAGAAGACCCCAATTATCTATGATCTAGGATATTTAGTACTATTTGAGTAGGCTGTAACTCTGAAAATAGGGCCAAGAGAAAGGCAAAATTAGTTACAATTTTTATTTTTATTTGTGTTTTTCCTTTTTTTCCCATTATCAATTAGCCCGAGCATCTCTCCCATCCCACCCCCTGCACTCACCACACTGTTGTCCTGCAATTTTTAAAATTAAGACTTTTTGGGTGAGCAGTTTTAGCTCTACAGAAAAAACCCCAAAAAACCCTGAGTGAAAGATACAGCAAGTTCACATATGTCCCTTCCCCTATTTTTACATCTTTTTGTGGTGATGAAAATGTTTTAAAAATTGATTGTGGTGAGAATTACACAACTCCAAATACACTATAAAAACCAATAAATTACATGCTCTGAATTAATGAATTGTAAGGTAGCAAATTACCTCGAAAAGAAGAAAAAAAGAAAAACATTCTTACTAAAGAAAAATACATCTACCTTTTGGCCCAGAAATTTCACTTTCATAAATTTTCATAAATTTATCCCATAAACTAACATGCTTATATGTGGGAAATGACATATTTGATACAAAATATATATTGCAGCATTGTCTGTAATGGGAAAAGAGTGAAAATAACCTAAATAGCCACCAACAGTAAATTCACTAAATAAATTGTTATATCTGTGTGATGGAACATTATACTGCCATTAAAAAGAATCTACATGTACAGACATAATCTCAAGATATATTAAGTGAAAAAAAGCAAGGTAGAGACTATATATATATACACACACACACATATATATCTCTCTCTTAATAGGAAGAATAATGACCCCCCCCAAAGACATCTATGTCCTAATCCCTGGAAACTGAATATGGTATATTACATAGCAAGAAGGAATTCAGGTTACAGATGGAATTAAGTTTGCTAGTCAGCGGACTTTGAGGTGAAGATAGTGGTATAAATCATCCACGTGGGCTCAATTTAACCACAAGACTCTCATAAGTGCAAGAGGGGGGTCAGGAAAGTCAGTGTCAGAGTGATGCAATATGAGAAAGACTCAATCAGCCACTGCACGCTTTGAAAATGGAGGAAGAGATCACGAAGCAAGAACCGAAGCAATCCCCAGAGTGAGGTAAAGACAAGAACACTGATTTTCCTCTAGGGCCCTCCAGAGGGAGTGCAGCCATGGCTGACGCTTTGATTGTAGCTCAGTGAGACCGATTTCAGATTTCTGACTTGCAGAACTATAATAAACCTGTATTGTCCTAAGCCACTAAAAACTAATGCTTTAAAAAACTAGTTTATATGTTTTTTAAATAGTGAAAAAAATTTTTAAGAGCTACATAGTATATGATGGCAGGTATACTATGACCTTAACTGTATTTTCTTAAAAGTCAGAATTGTTAGAAAATACAAGTATACTATTAACTTACTATTGGTGCCTCTGAGTATTGTCATTATGTGAATTTCTTTCTTATATGGTCTATAATAAGCATGCATTACGTTTACAGTCAGGAAAAAATTTAAACTGAGAAAAGGTTGAAGGATACAATGTTAATATATATAAGCAAATATATTTAAGTTAATGTATATGAGCAATGAACAAGTAGAATTTGAAATGAAACATAATACCATTTATATTAGCACCCAAAAGACTGAAATACTTAGGTATAAATCTAACAAAATATGTACACAATCTATATGAGAAAAACTGCAAAACTCGATGAACGAAATCAAAGAACTAAATAGAGAGATGTTCCAAGTTCGTGAATAGAGAGACTCAATATTGTCAAGATGTCAGTTCTTCCCAACTTGATCTATGGATTCAAGCAATCCTAATAAAAATCCCACCAAGTTATTTTGTGGATACTTAACAAACTGATTCCAAAGTTTATATGGAGGCCAAAAAGCCCAGAAAGGCCAACACAATATTGAAGGAGAATAAAGTAATGACACTACCCAACATTAAGGCTTACTATAAGACTACAGTAATCAAGACAGTGTGATATTAGTGAAAGAACACAGATCAATGGAACAGAATGGAGAGCTCCCAAATAGACCTCCATAAATAGACTCTACTGATATTTGACAAATGAACAAAGGCAACACAACGAAACAAAGAAAGTCTTTTCAACAAATGATTTTTGGACTGGACATCCACATACAAAAATGAATCTAGACACAGACCTTACACCTTTCACAAAAATTAACTCAAAATGGATCATAGACCTAAATGTGAATTGTAAAACTATAACACTCCTAGAAGATAATATAGGAGAAAACATAGATGACCTTGAGCGTGTCAATGACTTTTTAGACATACACTAAAGGCACTATTCACGAAATAATGGACTAGCTGGAATTAATCAAAATGAAAAACTTCTGCCCTGGGAAAGACAATGTCAAGTGAATAAGAAGACAAGCCACAGACTGGGAGAAACTATTTGCAAAAGACACATCAGATAAAGGACTATTATCCAAATTACACAAAGAACCCTTAAAACTCAACAAGAAAACACCCAATTTAAAAAATGGGCCAAAGACCTCAACAAACAATTCACCAAAGACAATAAACAGATGGCAAGCATAAAAGGGTGTTCCACATGATGTGTCATAAGAGAAACACAAAACAACAAAGTACAACCACACACCTATTGGAGTGGCCAAAATCCAGAACGCAGATAACAGCAAATGCTAGCAAGGGTGTGAAGCAACAGGAACTCTCATTTATTGTTGGTGGGTATGCAAAATGACACAGAGACACTTGGGAAGATGTTTGGCCATTTCTTATAAAACTGAACATACTATTAACATATGATCCAGTTCGTTCCTTGTTACTTACCCAAACGGGTTGAAAACATGTCCACACAAAAACCTGCACATGGATGTTTACAGCAGCTTTTTTCATAATTAACAAAGTTTGGAGGCAACCAAGATGTCCTTCAGTGTGTGAACAGATAAACTGTGGCACATCCAAACAATGAAATATTATTTGATGCTAAAATGAAATGAGCTATTAAGCCAAAAAAGGACATAGAGGAAACTAAATGCATATTACCAAGTGAAAGAAGCCAATATGAAAAGGTGACATAATATATGATTCCAACTATATGACATTCTGGAAAAGGCAAAACTATGGAGACAGCAAAAAGATCAGTGGTTGTCAGGGATTGGGGTGGGTAAGGGATAAATAGGTGGAGCACAGAGCATTTGGGTACAGAGAAACTATTTTGTATGATACCATAATGATGAATGCATGTCATTACACATTTCTCTAAACCCACAGAATGTACAGCACCGAGAGTAAGCTCTGGTCAACTCTGGACTTCCGGAGATTATGATGTGTCAATGCAGGTTCACAGTTGTTACTAGTCGGGGGAATGTTGATAGCGGGGAGACTACACGTGTATCCCGTTAGGGGATATATGGAGAATCTGTTCTTTCCGCTCAATTTTCCTATGAACCGCAAACTTGTCTTTAAAAAGCAATTCTTTTTAAAAAAGGAACAATATTCTTGGTCGCCCCAAACGCGTTTTTCTTTTAATACCCACGGCGGGAACCATGGTTCAGGTCAGTGGTCTGTGAGTGCTCGCTGAGAATGCGGATCGCGGGGACCTAAAAAGGGTAGGGGTGCTGCCAGAGGAGTCTCTCGAAGCGCCCCCAACACCCCTGCACGAGGCCAGAGAAAAGTGCAGGTCGTGGCGCCAATTCTGCGGAGCAGGGACTGTCGCTTACCAGGTCCCCCAGCGGTCGTTGTCATGCTGACGGACGCCCGCAGTCTGCGCAGGCGCTAAGCGGCTGGCATCGCGGAAAATCTGTCACGGGTGGCGCGGAGAACCAGCTCAACAAACCACGGCGGACAGGCCTGAGGCCACCTGGGAGGAAGCTTGCGACGCTGAGGCGGAAGCTGCGTGGGGGCGGGGGGCGGTGCGCAGGCTCAGAGGCTGTGGCTCGAGCTTCGCCTGCGCGCAGGCTCCGCGGCCGGGGTCGCTTCAGACTGTCCCGCGAATTGTTCTTTTGAGAGGTCGTCGGAAAACAGGATTCTGTGACTGTCGCCGGCCCGGTCAGGGAAGACAAAGGCAGAGAATGAGACGCAAGATTGAATGCAGTGGCTGGTGTGGGGTACGAGTTTCCAAAGTTGGTTATAGTTTCTCTTTTTCGTTTTCGTAACACCCTAGAAGGACATGGAACCATTTCTTCATAAAAAATGAGTGTTTCTGCCCGAGTAACGGAACCGATAACTTGAAAGTTTCCTGGCCCCTTCGTCTCTCTTTACAGCCGCGTGCACTCAGAAAACACTCCAGCAGCTAGACTCTCACACCCACTGCCTTCTTTGCCCTCCTTAATTCCTTACTTTCTACTACCGTTCTGGGGATGGAGGAGGAACACCCCGCAGAGTAGATTTATCTGAATTAGCCCTGGCATTTTCTGGTTCTGTGACTAAGACGATTACTCTGTCAGTTGTAAAATTAGAATGGCTACATCACCCGATACATCACACAAAGGAGCTTTTCTCACCCAGCCCTTCAGTTTTTAATATAGAAGACTTTCTAGACCTGAGTTATTTAAATCTCTCTTCAATCAGGATTCCATGTCCTCTGCATATTCCCTCGCTTAATCAAAAAGACTTCTTAAGTTTCAGAAAACACTAAATTTTAACGACTTCAGCCGCATTTAAAAATAAAAGTTGAGTTATACAATTGATCTGTTTTTTTATTGCATTTCTCTTATAATTTAAAATGTTACACATTTAAAGTGTATAATTTATTGTATTCGTAGTGTATTCAGATTTATGCAGCAAGCACCACAAATTTAAAACATTTTCATCACCCCAAAGCAGTCACTCCACATTTCCTCCCCAGCCCTATGCAACTACTACTAATCTTTCTTTTTTTTAAAAGATTTTATTTTATTTTTTTATTTTTATTAGAGGAAAGGGAGAGAGAGAAAAAAATATCAATGAGTGGTTGCCTCTCGTGCACCCCCCACTGGGGACTTGGCCCACAACCCAGGCTTGTACCCTGCCTGGGATTCGAATCAGTGACCCTTTGGTTTGCAGGCGGGTGCTTAATCCACTGAGCCACACCAGCCAAGGCTTAATCTACTTTCTGTCTCCGCAGATTAAACTATTCTGGGCATTGCATATAAATGGAGTAATACAATATGACTGACTTCTTTCACTTGGATTAATATTGTTAAGGTTCATCCATATTGTAATGTGTATCAGTACTTTATTATTTTTTTATGGCCAAATGAAAATTCCATTGTTTGCATATGACACATTTTATTTGTCCATTCATCAGTGGGTGGACATTTGTGTTGTTTCCACTTTTTTGGCTACTAATGAATAATGCTGCTATGAACATTCATGGACAAGTTTTGAGTGGAAGTGTGAAGTTTGTGGATGTATTTCTCTTGGGTATATATAAATAAGAGTGGAAATGCTGATTCACATGGTAGCTTTATGTTTCACTTTTTGAGGAACTGCCAGATAATTTTGCAAAACACCTGTACCATTTTACACTCCTACAGCAATGTATGAGAATTCCAGTTTCTCCAAATCATCAACACTTGTTATTATCTGTTGTTTTTTTCTTTGATTACAGCCATACCAGTTGATAAGAATAATATCTCATTGTGTTCTTGATTTGCATTTCCCTAGACTAACAATGTTCAGCATATTTTCAAGTGCTTATTAACTATTCATATATTTTCCTTGGAGACATGTCTATTCAAATCATTTGCTCATTTTACATTGGGATATTTGTGGGGTTTTTGTTGAATAATAAAAATTACTTTTTTAACAATCATATCTTATAGATTACGCTATAACAGTTGTCTTGATTTTTATCCCTCCCTGCCTCCCTCCACCCAGCACCGCCTACTCCCTCAGGCTGTACCCCCACTACTGTTCATGTCCATGGGTCATGCATGTAAGTTCTTTGGCTACTCCATTTCCTATACTGTACTTTACATCCCCATGTCTATTCTGTAACTACCTGTTTGTACTTCTTAATCCCCTCACCAATTTGTCCATTCTCCCCATTTCCCCTCCCATCTGGTAACCTTCTGGTAACTAACTTTTCTCTTGCTTTGAAGAGTCTCTCTTTATCTTTAACCTTTGGCCTTTTAATAATGATGTGTCTTGGAGTGGGCCTCTTTGCATCCATCATAATTGGGACTCTGCACTTCCTGGACTTGCATGTCTATTTCCTGCACCTTGGGAATTTTTCTTTCATTATTTTTTCAGATTGAATTCCAATTTTTTGCTCTTTCTCTTCTCCTTTTGGCACCCCTATTATGCAAATGCTGGACCTCTTGAAGTTGTCCCGGAGACTGTTTATTCTACTCTCATTTTTTAAATTCTTTTTTTCTTCTTGCTCTGCATGGGTATTTTTCACTTTCTTATGTTCCAAATCACTAATTTGGTCCTTGACTTCATCAATTCTACTGTTGTTTCTGTGTAAACTGTCCTTTATTTCAATTAATGTATCCTTTGTTTCTGACTGGGTCTTTTTTATGCTGCTGAGGTCCTCACTAAGTTCCTTGAGCAACTTACAGTGTTTTGAACTCTGCATCTAATAGATTGCTTATCTCCATTTCGTTTAGCTCTTTTTCTGGAGTTTTGATCTGTTCTTTCCTTTGGGCCATGTTTCTTTGTCTCCTCATTTTGTCAGCCTCCTTGTGTTTGTTTCTAAGTAGAGCTGCTTTGACTCCATGTCTTGGTAGTGTGGCCTAATGTAGTAGGTGTCCTGTAGGGTCCAGTGGCACAGCGCCCCCTATCACCCAACCTGGGTACTCGAGGTACTCCCTTTGTGTGGGCTAAGTACACCCTCCTCTTGTAGTTGAGCCTTGGTTTTAGCTGGCAGGTCAATGGGAAGGATTTACCCAGGCCAGTCACCTGCAAGGATGGGCTGTGACCACTGACCACCAACCTCCACTCTCCGTGGAGGATCAGCTGTTCTGGGGCAGGGTGGTGGTGCTCTAATGTGGTCTGTAGCTGTCCATTGGGTGTGTTGACCCTGGGGTTTCCTGGGTCGTGCAGGCCAAGGTCAGCCCCTACCTGTGTTTTGCCCAGGGTACCTTGCATGAGCTGTAAAGCAATCTGAGCTGGTTGCTACTTGTGCTGGGCGTGGAGATTCCCAGATGAAGCCAAGCTGTGATTCTAATATGGCTACTGCTAAGGCTCACTGAAGCTAGCTCTTGCTTGTTTGATAGGATTTAGGAACCAAGACCAGCCATTCTTAAGGAAAAACAGCTTGGGTGGGCCTACAAATTGGATAGGGTGGAGCCTCTGGGGATCTCCAAGATGGGTCACACAGTGTTAGCCAGGTTAATGGAGTCTCAGATATGGCACCAGCCTACTGGCTCTGTGGAGTGAGAGCTCAGCATAAGGACAATGGCCTCTGCTGGCCCCAATGTCTATTGAGAGCCTCTGCCCATTTTTTTAATCAGATTATTTTGCTGCTGTTGAGTTGTGTAAGTTTTTATATTTTGGCTATTAGCACTTTATTGGAGGTATTGTTTGCAAATACAGGGTCCAGCAGAAGCAATGCCTGCTTGAGTGTGATTGGTTGGGTAATAATATGGGTGTGATAATTTATAGTTTTAATTTGAACATTTCACCTAAAATGTCATATGGTATGCTTGAGTGTGATTTGTTATATTACAGAATGTTCATGATTTTGTAATAAAAAAGGGACATTATTTGTGCTGGACTCTTTATCTTCTCCCATTTGGTTGATAGCCTTTTTGTTCCGTTGATGGTTTGAGTTTGATGTAGTCCAGAGATTTGAAAATTTAAATATTTTATAGCTGCTTAACTTTTTTAACTTAACAAATCTGTCAGGTATTATTGCCACTCCATTGTGTTTACTTAGTGTTGAGTGAATTATGAAAATACAGATTCATGGATTAAAAATTAATCTTGCCCTGGCCAGTGGCTCAGCTGTTTGGAATGTTGTCCGGCACACAAAGAAAAGGTTTTGGGTTCGATCTTGGGTCCGGATGCATATGGAAGGCAACAGATTAATGTTTTGTCTCACATCAGTGTTTCTCTCTCCCTCTCTATCCCGTCTCTAAAATCAATAAACATATCTTCAGATGAGAATTTAAAAAAAAAAAGAATCTTAGACATCATCTAGATACAAGCACTGGGCGTAGAGAGAAGAGCATTGGTCAGACTTGGGTTCTTGTTTCAGCTGTGTGACCTCTAGCTTTATAAGTAGTCACTGTGCCTAGAAATAGGACTGCATTTTTTTTTTTAGTGAAAAGAGGGAACTTTATATTTTGTCTGGCTCTGAAATTATAAGCAGAGCCATCAAAAATCTGCATGGTTAACTTAATACAGCTTACTTCATTTTTGGAGTGTCCTAATTGCTAGAAAGTTTGTCCTTAAATTTTGTTAGTTCCTAGACATATGGCACGTTAATCTTATTACTCAGTCTATGAAATGTAACAATAAACCATAAGGTAATTTCCTTTTACTGGTCTGCTTTATGAGATATTAACACAGCCAACTCCTGGGATTTTTGTGTTTGCATGATATGCCATTTTTCCTTTTTATTTTTTAACCTACATATACCATCATGTTTCAGGTGGTTTCTTGTAGACAGCATTTTTAAAAAAATCTAACCTTTGTATTTTAATTGCCATATCAGATCATTTGATTTTTTGTATTGTTGCTTATCAGTCTACTGGTCTCCCATTTATCATTTTCTATTTGTCTCATCTGTTTTTTACTATTCTCCTCTCTGGCCTTCTTATTTGAATATTTTTTAGGATTCCACTTTAATTTACATATTGTCTTTTAAAAATATATTGCTGTAGATAGTTGTTTTCTTTTTTCCCAATGGCTGCTCTAGAGATTAT